ATAAAGACCGAAGCTACTACCAATTTACTTTTTTATACGGCAACACTCAAGTGGTGAATGATGAATTATATTTCTCTGCATTGGCAAATTTTTCAAATTTAGTGCTGAAAAATCTATTGATTGGTGAGAAAGCACGCGCATTCGCTGTAAATTGGTGGTGAATGATGTGTATTATTCGTTAGATACATTACTGTATGATTAGATTTATATAAATTTTTTAAGTAGGAATATTTTTATATGCAATTTAATATAAAAGTATTTTTTGAATATTGAAAAATCTTTAATTTACCATCATATTTATAAAATATATTTATTAATAAATATTAAAGTATTTAAGAATATTAGGTGGGTTTAAATAAAAGAAGTAAAGTTGTACTCATAATTTATTATTTTTAAGAATTGAAATAATAATACTAATAATAACAATCATTTAATAAACACACATATTTATTAAAGGCATTTGTTTAAAACAATATATATTATTTGCGTACATAATGAATAATATTTATATAAAATAAATTATTTCTTTTGAATAATATACTAAAAAAATGTTCAATATGATATTAAAATCTGGGACTAGATAATTGTACTGGCTAATTATAAATATTATATAATATCTTTACACGTAAAAAATTAAAATTTAAAAACAAAATTAGAAACAAATTTATAGTATTTTACTGAATAAAAAATAAAATTGTGATATAGTAGTTAATTTTGAAAAATATTCTTATAATAATAACATGAAATTATGTGAATTTTTATTCAATAGTTTTTGGAAGGGAAGGAAATAGACCGAGTGGAATTGACGCTTTAGATTTAGTAACCATAGGTGGATATGTCAATAATATAAAAGATATCATAGAGAACATTGAAAAGCAATTAAAAGAAAATACAACGGTTTGCAAGAAAAAGTCAAAATTAATCTATGATAAAAAGATAGCAGATACACCTAATTATGAAGTAGATCAAAAGATAGTTGTGAAAAATCTTACAAAAAATAAAAAGTTAGAGACCACTTTTACTGGTCCATATACCATTGTAAAAGTTACCGAAGCTAATGTCTTTATAAGAACAAATCGTAGAACAAGAAAAATTTCAAAAAATCTAATTAAAAGATATATTGAAAACTAATTTTGTTTAAACTGTTCAGATTTTTTCTAGCCATATTCGCTCTTAAAATTGAGGATATTAATGGGAAAGGAAGCTTCTATTTCAAGAAAGTATGGGAAAACAGAATCGTGGACGGTCACATATCCATAATTACTAATGTAAATCTAACTTCTTATGAAGATAAAATGAATGTGCTTAAGAGTAAAGTAGATCATGTAGATAAAACTTGCATAGATTCCTATCACGAATGTGAAGAGATCATTGTTTTTGGAAAACAGCATTTTAAAAATTTAAAAAAAAAATAAATGTAGTACATAATATGCTTGGAATTAAGTCCAGTTTGAAGGGAAATAGAAACAAGAGAGGAATATTAAATATAATAGGATCAGGGCTTAAAGTTTTATTTGATACTATGGATAGTGACGATGCTGAATATTATAATAAGGTGATAACGGATATAAATAATAATGAAGAGTTTATAAAAACAGGATTAAAGCAAGAAATTAAAATTATTCAAAATTTAAATGAACAAAACTTAAACATAAAGAAAAGTTTCGAAGATATACAGCACATCTCCAATAACTTCATAAATAAACTTAACTCATTAATAGGAACAGTTAATGAAAATAGTAAAAATATGGCTATATTTGAATACATGCAAGAAATGGAATTAAAAATAGTAAGCAGTTGTTTAGATCTTGAATTTGACTTAGAAAAGCTAATTGATATCATTTTATTCATACAACTAAAATTAATACACCCAATGTTATTGAGTTCAGAAAAATTTATTGATATATTACTGAAAAGTAAAAATGAACCAAAATTTTTATATACACCCAGTTTGGAATCATACAGCCAAATTATAAAGTATTCTAAAATTAAAGCTTTTGAACGCAAGAAGGTTATAGTTGTAATAGTTCTAGTTCCATTTGTCAAAAAGGACATTTATGATACCTATCAGGTAATACCAGTTCCAATATTTGAGAAGAATAAACAAGTAATATTAGAAAAGGAAAATAATTAAATATCGATCAGCACGTTGTACAACAAGGGGTATTGTAGAAATCTTTGTGGAATTGAGATTAATCTTCCACTTACCGTAGTACTAACAATGGCAGAATTGAAGGTGGCACTGCTGAAGAGTGGCAAAATTTTGGACCAAAAACCACTCAAAAATTGATTTTTTCGATTCCAAAACAAATAGTAGCTATTATTAAATATTATTAATATTATTATCATTATTAAATAGAAAAGCTTGGCCACTAAATATTAATTGTTATCGAAAATATTTTTTTTAAATTTGTTTTTTAATTTTTACGTCAACTGTGCCAATAATTTTGTTTAGCTAAATTTAGTTCTTTTTTTGGTTTTTTAATTTTAAAAAATTATATTTAAGAGAAAATAAAATGAAATGAAGTGAATTTAAAAGCAAAGGAAGCATTTTATCTAAAAAAATTTTTTGTTTATTAAAAATCGCATCATTAGCTGCGTTTCAGCAAACATGATCCGCTCAATGATCTGAATCATCTTTGCTGAAACGATACGGATCACGTTTGAAAATAATTGGCAACGCATGAAATATGCCAGTTGGGTTTATGTACAAAATTTTTTGATTTATGTGAATAATTTTGGCGCTAAAAAAATAAGTGAGAAAATTTTGAATACAAAAAATCTAAAACTTGGAAAATAAATAAAAACTGTTGAAATGTCTGAAGTACGAAATGTAAGTTTTTATTTAGTATTTACTTAAAAATTTAAATTTATAGTAAATATAGATTTATAGTAAATCAATGGAAATTGCAGATTTTATTAGAATTATCGAGCAAAACTGACTCCTCCATTTTCTTTTTAAACACTAGTCCAAGTGTATTAAGCTCAAGGGATGAAAAGCATTAGCATGGATATAGTGGAAATTTTATGGAAACGATCAATAATTTTTCCATTGAAGACTTCAGGAAAAACTTTAAACTTCAAAGATGTACTACTAATTATTTATACAAATAAAAATACAATTGCTATTTATTAATTATATTTTATAATTGAATAGATTTGTTTATAAATTCCAATCAGCAAATACAAAATAACCGTGGTGGTCACAATTGAACGAGAGCAATGAAGGAAATTTACATATTTTTGTGGTATACGGCAAATATAAATACTTTTCGCGAATTTGGTATTTGTTTTGGCATACCAAAAGCTTCTGTATGGAGAATAATTGAAAGAACTAGTGTTTAGCTTATATCAATTGCAAAATTTCCGTTCGTGATTGACAGCACACATGTTAAAATAAATGCACCTCACCATAGCAATTAGGCTTATTTCAAAAGGAAGCATGAATATAGCTTAAACTTGCAAGCAGTGTTTCAAGTGGTTTTTTTTTATAAACGTAACATACACGTTTCCTTATGTATTGTTCTGTTTTAATTAAATGAATGTATTCAACTTAATGTTTATATATTCATTTCAAATTAATTGATTTTCATAAATTATCAAACAACACTTTTTTAATAATAATAAAACGTAAATAATTAAAGTAATAATTTTAATTAATTTTAATCATTTTAATTTATAGTAATAGTAATAATTAAAGCATTACTTCAAACAAAGAAATAAATAATAACGACATATTAAATAAATAAGTACATAAAATAAATAATAAATAAATAAAATCAATAATAAATAAATATAAATGTCGATTTGTTTATAATTTTACTACACCGTTCCATTGCATTGCCAACCTCATTTGCATTAAAATACGTTCCAATTTTATCTTTTACATACATTCCACATTGAACCAGAAAGTGAACCAGATCAATTGCTGGTTCACCCCATTGTTTTTGTTTTGCATGTAAAATTGAGCGGATCATGTTTGCTGAAACGCAGCTATTGTTGAATATAATTTGTTGCTGAGGTATTATAAATATTGATAATATTTTTGCACAAAAAATTGTATGAAAGAAATTAATTAATCAATAAAATCTATTCTTTGATTCTCGTCGAAAACCTAATTCTGGTTTATATAAAGTAAGTTTCAAGTGCTTAATCTGTAACCAATAAGCAATATTCAATAAGTTATACTGCATTTACACTGCCTGAAAACGGTTCATTTTGTTCAAAAATCGAAAATGAGAAGCGAATGGCTCATTCTTGCATACAAAATTTCAAGCGCGAATGCATTCCATTTCAATACATTCTGTATGAATGCGTCCCAACGAGGTTCGAATGCGTTCCAAATACAAAGGAATACATTGAACATACTCTAAATAAAAGCTCTTCATGGCATTTTAACAGTATGAGAAAGCTGTTTTGACATATTTACAAAAAAAGTTCAACAAATGTTTGGTGGTTGCATTTTCTTGGAAACGATGCATCTCTTGTTAGAACTTCCACTTCAATGTCATTTTCGTAACAAAAACTTATCGATAACACATTATATTTAACGTTGTTAAATATAAGAAAAGGTATTAAATGAAACTTTCAGCGGAAGCTCAAACTTTGTTGCGTCTATTTTAATATAGGAAAGTCAGCTTTGATAACTGATTTTGCGCCCAATGTTGACTTCCACCAGCAAAGTTCGTAATGTAAACCCCGTATTACGAGTAGCAAACAGATTGTAGTACCTGTAAAAATGTTTATTTATTATTATATCAGTATATAATAATTCTTTACAATATTTGCTATTATTGTGATATAACGCTATGACCACATTTAACAAGATATTTCTCTCAATTTTTTAATTTACATTGAAAGCTACAATAATATAAATTTTGTCTCATGACTCTGCATTATCAGATATATCTGTGCTTATTCTCTAAACTAAATGTCTCCGCTCTTCATAAGATCTCTGATATATATCGTACCATATTTTTTCATTGTTTTAATTCTCATTAATTCCTCAAAGCAACAATACCAAATTTGAATGGATAACAAAAGTTGAGTATGTTTATCCATTGATATGTGGATTCGTACACAAATATTGATAATGAAAATAAGATAACCGAAAACAAGTCATAGTAGATAAGACCAAGTTAATTACGAGAAATAGAAGGTTTTACATTTTGCCATTTTTTGGTAAACTTGCTATTCAGTCTGCCTTATTTATTTTAATTTGTATACCTATACCATTTACAGATTGTATGTTTGCGTAAAATGACTACTATCACCAATAAGGAGTATTATAGTTTGGTGAGTGCTTAAGACTATTCATTAACATAAATATGAAAAAAAGAATATCTAAACGTCAAATACCAGTAAAATTTAAATATTGACATCTCAATGCACCATTTACTTATCTTAGTAACTAGGCTTGCCCGTTTCGCTTCATCAGGTTTTGTAATGTGCATATTATACGTAATCGCCATGTCAGATTGAGAAATTTGTTAAAGTTCCGCGGATAGTTTCTAACTTGTTTAGGATCGCAATAGTAAATGACAACATAATTAAACGATAACTGAATGTAGTGTCATAAATCGTTGCTACATTTACGATCTTTAAATGTAAATTATTTCAAAATGCATAAAAATTGTTTAATATTGCAATATAAATACCTGTGACAAAAAATGTTGAAAGCAGATTTTAGCTGAATGCTTAGGTTCAATAAAGATATTACATATGTTTTTACTAAGTAAGCTTAAAATATGCTTTTACTAAAAAGACAAAATATTTTATCTATTAGTTTTTGTAAAATTGGAATAAATTATTTCCATTGTCGTTAACAAATCAACCGTGATCTTTCCTTTTTTACAGAAACTGATATTTTCTATAAATTTCAATAAAATTTGTCTAAAACTTTTTCTAATTTAACTTCTTTGTAAATCTAACTTCGTCTGTAAATTGTGGTATTGATCACCTACAGCGATTAAAAATAATATGCGACATTAACTAAATTCTTATAAAATGTTGCAATAACAAATAATTTTTTTGCTTCATATTTTGGTGTTCCGAAATAGAATTGCTTTTTTATATTTAAATGTAAAAAGCATACAAATAAAAAAAACAATCTATAATTGTTGAAAATTGCATTATTTTTATTACATTTTTTGGTTCCATTTTGTCGTTATTGCAACATTTAATAGAAATTAAGTTTATGAATACTTTTTTTACCGCTGTAGTTACTTCTTTCGTCTAAACCGTTGTAAGTTCAAAGTCCTTATAAGCGATTATGATTGTGATAACCTCATAGATTATCTCAGTAAATGTGTCGCTATTTCTCCTTTTCTTTCTAATTGGATGACACAAAACCTGGTTCGTCCCAAACTACAAAATGTTTTCGGTTCTACAATCACCGAGGCTGTCATTTTCATGGTACGTTTGTCTGTATCTTCGGTGCAAGAACCGAGGATATTCAGCTTTTCTAAACATCATCAGACTTGATGTTACCTGATGAAAATTGAATGCTGTAATGTTGCCTGATTATCAGTTAGGATGGCTTTTCTATTGTTCATATAGTTATGTTCAAAATTAAAATATATACACCTGTCTATGGTATACATTTTTTTCTGGTAGTTTTGTTTTTACCTAGTTCCTCCGAGTATTTAATCCCGGCTTGTAAACACCTGTTGCAGCTCCGTGTTCAGTAAGGGAACCGACCACATACTAAGTTAGCATGTTCTAGTTTATTTTATAAGTTTGAGATATACATTTTAATTTTTCAGTCCTGTTTGTGATATCCTGTTGATTGTGTTAATTACTGTATGTGCCTTATGCAATTATACCAGATTTCTGCCCTAAGTTATATAAGTCTGTACTGTATAAATCCACAGCTTTAGTTTCAATGTAAAGCCCCAATTCTCACCACGATAGAACTGCATGTCATGAAAACTTTGATGGTCTTTTGCTATTTCACTAATCTAAGGTGTCTAATTTAATATTTTGTCGAATATTATTCACAAGAATTTTGTTTTCTTCTGTCGTTTTGACATCATTCCATTAAGGTTGATATATTTGGGTTGCTTAAGTTTATATTTCCACATTAATGGTATAATAGTAATTTTTTCTGGTTTAATATTCAGTCCTACTGACACCATTTTTTCGCTAGTTTTAGTAATAGTTAAATTTGATTACATAGAGTATTTTTAAAGTTTCCTCTATATATGACTATATTATTAGCATAGGTTTGAAATGATGAACCGTTATTTTTCAATTTTAAGAAAAGTTCGTTTATAATTATACTGCTAAAGAGCAGTGATAACACTTCTCCCTGTCGATATTCTCAGTTTTCGTTCTTATTCTTCCAGAGTCGATATTTCTACCTTCTGATATAGAAAATTTTACTCACTCACAAAGTTAGAGTATGTATTGTAACTTCTCATATAATTAATTCTAATTTATTGTTTCATGTAAAGTATCGAAAGCATATTCCATATCTAGTAAGTCACATATTGCTGTTACTTTATTTTCTAAGATTTCCTGGAGCATATTAGCTAGTTAATACAGAGCAGTTTCTTTGGAATGTCGATATCTATATATAAGTTGAAATGGAAGCAGTACCAACGTCATCCGGTGATTTTAGTGATATTTTTCACCCACTCTACCCTTGATGTTATTGGTTCTGATCCATTCATTCCTCTGTATACGTCCCAGTCTTTCAATATATCCTGTCCGTCAATATATTCTTCCAGTATTTCAATATATTTTCCTTTACCATTGTAGAGAAACCTACAAATTGAGTATCAAGAAGTGGACGATTTGCTACCATCGCTATTAAAGTTTGTAGAAAAATTCTGCTTCCTTTCGCCAGCACTTTGTTGGTACCTTTATAGTGTTAATATTTATAGTTTTTCAAAATTTTTACGTTTAGATTACCGAATCGCTTTACGTAGTATATAGCGTTATGGCATTTTTATAGTCTGAAAACCTATACATTATACATTTTACCTCTCGCAATGTTCCACCAGTTTTACCTGGTTTTCGATTTGCTCAAGTAGTGCTCGAGTGCCATCACCTGGTAAGTAAACTGTTGCTACAACCATATTCCGCGACATCCTATTGATGTCAATTGGAATTTGCACTACTATTAAGTCTCTAGATAGAAATTTTGAAGACAAAAAAATTCATGTTGTTATTAAAATTAGGTAGGTTATTGGTTTATCATTTCGATTGTTCCGTATTACCTGTATGTTTTCTACAGCTAAATCACCATTATTGGTAACAATTATCACCTCATTGTATAAAATTGGCTTCAGTTGATCAAGTTTAGTGATTCTTAGCCCAGGTTGTCAATTGATTCAAATTTCAAAAATTTGTGGAAATAATCAATATTTCAGAATCCATTCATTTTAGCTCGATGTAGCCTTGAGTCTTGACTATAATTTTCAAACGGTCATATCACCTCATTGTATAAAATTGGCTTCAGTTGATCAAGTTTAGTGATTCTTAGCCCAGGTTGTCAATTGATTCAAATTTCAAAAATTTGTGGAAATAATCAAAATTTCAGAATCCATTCATTTTAGCTCGATGTAGCCTTGAGTCTTGACTATAATTTTCAAACGGTCATAGCTGCCCATACCATTACTTGAGATGAAAATTACTTCGACTGGTCTTCATAGTCTCAAATTTTCGAATTTTCGACAATGCGTTCAGCTAAGTACACAGGATTATTATGAACTGCTCAATGGGAAATTTTTCTGATCAGAGAGCACAATTCGCCACGTTTGTGAAAGCGCAACAACTGAATTGCTCTTTCGAATCCAACTTTTTGTTGCTTTGGTGTAAGATCTTGTGCTTTTTGAAACATTTAAGGAATATGCGTTGGATGCTTCGATAGAATATTTTCAGTTCTTTGCCCATTTGATTACCACTACGACGTGGATTTCGTTTAAGGTGAATTTCAGATGATGTTTCTGTTTTATGTATTTCGTCCATCACCATAGCGTTTGGCGACGATGCCTGTACTATTACAATGATTTATGGTGCGATATACAAAAATTTTATTCATTTTGAAGTGTTTGAGCTCAAACAATAGGTGGTTGTGATTTTCCAAACAAATATAACGCAATAACACTATTACTTGTCAATTCCATTTCTAATAACTTTTGTTCTATAAAACTTAGACGCAAATGATTGTAGTAGCTTGTTAACAATATCAACAGCTGTTACTCGTATGAATTTTACGAAGTTTACAATATCAGTTTGACAGATATACGTATGTGTAGTTGGTAGTCTTTCAATCGCTAGATCCTGTATATGGTATACAGAATTTCTATTTTGTTTATTTGTTAATTTGAATGAAAGATATGTGAAAATATGCGAAAATAACTTCAAATTTTTAAGTTAATTTATTTTGGTTCAATATGGCCTATAAGCAAATTCTAACTAAGCGGCCCCTGCAGAACACCATTTATTTGTTTGATTAAAAAATATCCAGCACGGTTTACAAAATACTGAAACCAATAACTTTGAATAGCATAATCTTAGTTTTTAAATTATAGTATGAAGCATTGAAACTTCTATTGTCTTGAATAGGTTCTTTTGGAAATAGCTCTTGGGTTCTCTTGTGGTCGAAAGAATTATCAATTAATAAGCGTTTAATATCATCAGTAATTTGGACATTAATATAGTGCCCAATATCAGTTGATTAGCTTATTGTTTCATCAATGATTTTGAAGTCTGTTTCAGTATTTGAACAACGTGTGAATTTATTTTGTGTATCACAATTAGCAGAAGCATCATTTGAACCGTTCACTACTTCACTTTGGTTTTTATTTATTTTTAGAAAATAGTCTAGTTTTGGTAATTTCTTTAATGTTTCTTCTTGTTCGTTTCGCTCTTTTCTTTTCTTGGCTACACTTAAATATTTATTCATTTTCACTTTTTTAAACACAAAAAATAAACTGGAAGAAATGTTTGATTTGAAAATGTATGTTGCTTTGATAAAATGTAAACAAACGTGTATTCAGTGCATGTCAACACAAAGAAATTTTAAAGGGCCTATTTACCCTATCATGAACGTGAGATGAACTTGACGACAACATGAAATATTAGTTCAGTTTACACTATCATGCACAGTTATGAACTGAAATTGGTTTTGTTCTGTGTAAACGTATAAAATGCTTGTGTCTGCATAGTAGTGCATAGCACAAAAAATGAGCGGTAAAATTACTTAAAATATAACATTGACATTAACATAAATATAACATTGTATATGTCAAGCTAAAAAAAACCAGCAAATTTCGTTGCTTGAAATT